TATGTTTGACATATGAAGGACACTGAACCTTTTCTCAATCCGCTGTCTGAGGGCATTCACAAGACCAATCAAGGCCAAAATAATACATGGGACATTTGATATGGTATTAAAGAACTCCGCAATATAGGAGGAGTGGACATAATTTAGCTCACACCAATCTTTGGTAGATGTTACAGGACCCCAAAAGCTTGAAACGTCATCTGCCATTTTTCAAAATATATATGTACCTGCATGAAATAATGAGCTAGTGAGCTGTTGCTATATTTCTTTGACAAAGATGCAATTCCAATATTCTGCGTAATGATAATAGTCAAAGCATGTATCATTAGTTACTACCATATCAAGAAATCAAATACTCAGTACTACCCTAAAGGGGTGTGCATCATTCGGGTCGGTTCGGTTATATGTATTATCGGTTAGGGGTGTGCATCATTCGGGTCGGTTCGGTTATATGTATTATCGGTTCGGTTTATCGATTTTCGATTTTTAAATATGCTAACCAAATAACAAACCAATAAGATATTCTTTATCGATTTTTTATCATTATCGGTTCGATTTTCGATTTACCCAATAAGAAAATGTCCGTAAAATATCATATGCCTTCTCACTTCTCTAAATGCTTTGATATAGTGAACAAGAAAGATAATGAGAAATCGCATTAATAAGAGAAAATATAGTATGAAGGATATAATTACATGTTAACACCAAAACATAGTATATGATTTTTTTTGTTAATCAAATTACGGACCTTTACAAACTTGCAAATACTACAACCTACAATTACAAACTTAAAACTAAAACTAAAATCAAATAGCTACAATGTGAATTCTTTAATTTAATCTTTAGGTTTGAGTAAACAGTAAAAACTAGTAACATGGCCTAGTGTCAAGTTGGTAGAGTACTAATAATTTGATATAGTTATAGCGTCTAATTATATATTAAATTATTAATATTCGATAATTAGGAAGGATAAAATAAATTATTACCGTCTTATTGGATTGTCGGTTTACCCAAATAACCCAATAGTAAAAACCGATACCGAACCAATAACCCAATAACAATAACTTAACATTTTTTCGGTTCGGTTATCAGTCAGTTCGGTTTTTGGACACACCTCTGACCCTACACAAGGAGGAAGAGAAACCACAAAACCAAAAATATAGAGACAGTAGGGACTAGAGCATTTGTAATTGAGTTTTAGAACAACTAATATGTGCACAAACAATATTAACAAATCACTTAATAAAAAAACAGAACAATGAGATTATATTAGCTAAGCCATATAGATGAACAACAAGGTATTTTTTTATCCTCTCAAATAACATCAAGAACAAAAGTGTTTCCCAATTTTAGTTTTACAAAATTTTAATCAGATTCGCCATGCTTAACCAATTTAGTACATTATATGAACATATCTTGGATTCAATAAGTAAAATTTCATAGCAAACTAGCCTATGTCTATGACCTATCAACAAAGGGCATATGCAAGAGACTGGAAAACAGAATCATTAAACAGTTTTCCACAATAAGAAGCATGTAGCACCATCATTCTGCATGCTTAAACCAATTTAACTATCACAAAAAAACCAGCCTAGCAGAGGCATTTAATATTTTACTAGACATCGTTTATAGTTTCCTCTCTAAACAGGCCTCCTTATATTAACCTTTCCTTTGAAGATTCTAAAAAACAAACTATCAAATTTTGGCACATTTTTCATATATTCCTTCCTAAGAATAGCCACCAAATTACAATGATTAATAATCATAAACCCTTGAATCACCATAAATGCAGTTATATCAAACAATTTTCTTGATATCCTGCTAAAACAAAACCTTCCAAGCAATGACTAGCCAAGGGTATTTGACATGAGTGGAAAGATCATTTGAAGGGTTACTAGGTGTTATGTGTCAACTGAATTAAGAAAGTGTTAACCACTTGCTCCTTCAGGCTTCAAGTACAGTCGCAGCAGCAGGATCTCTGGAGTATGTTTTTCTCAATTTTTTTACGAGTCTCTGGATCATGCCTCACAATATATCAGAGAAGCTTATGAGAGCTAGTGGTCATGGAAAGATGATAAAGCCATCATGAAAATCTGGTTAATGGTGCCGGCTAGTATTTTTTGATGTATCTAGAAAGAAGTTGTCAATGTTTCGATGGATTCTCAACTTCAAATCACTCTAAAACCCAAATATTTACTAGATCTGTTTAGCTAGCTCAACCAGGCCCTTGTATCTACTATTGATCATTTTTTGGATTGTATAATCACTCTGGTTATAGTGAAATATTTTGTATATGAGCCGACTCAATCTCTCTTTTGCAATTTTTGCTCTTGCACCTGCTTGATGCTATTAATGAAATCTACTAACTTCATCAAAAGTAGCATCTGAAAGTAACTTTTCCAAACATGATAACAAGTAGCACATTGACTTCGGAGATCACACATAATGTGTATCACTAATTTTATGTCTTGATGTTTTCCGGCAACACAAGCACCATAGAACTCTACGTTTGCTCCCAACTCCATCTCGACTAGCATCTTCCTCTCTAGGGTAAGGGGTTTCTTTCCTTATCCAAGACAGGCCCACAGGGCTTAATTACTGAAAGAAAATACTTTTCCCGACTATATTTCTATCTTAAAATAGATAATGGCATTTCAAAGAACTATTTCCTGAGAATTCCTATTATATCACTCAATTCCTCTCACATGTATACTTGGTGTATAATCTCTGCACCATCTTTCATCAAAATCCCAACTTGGCAAAGAATGTGTCCTACTTTGCTAGAAATGGTTGAACTCGTACAAAACTAACATATATCATCAACTCCTTCACATTAAGGATTTTATCCCCATAAAACTCATGCCTACAAGCATTCTATGTCAAATTTGATATCTTAACCATGATCATGAGCAAGTGCATAAATATACTCCTTTACTTCAAACCTAACTATTAATTCGTTGTCCGTTAAATCATGTATTCCACATTAACTGAAGTAGCCATAATAATAAGAAAAAATCAACTCCAAATAGATACCCTTCCTACCAAAATTAAATAGATACCGCTAACAAAATTTGCCATTAATTCATGAATTCAACATTAATAGTCAAAATTGATAATAATTAGCGAAAATCACCTCAGACAAACCTCATTCCCAACTTAACACAAATGGTTACATTCCTACAGAAATTAAACTTTTAAGATCACCTTGAACAAAATTTTCCATTAATATACATATTCCACATTAATTGATATCGTCAAAATTGATAATACTTAGCAACAATCACCTCATATAAACATCATTTCAAACTTATCACAAATTAAAAAAAAAATCTAGTTCCTACCGAAAAAACAAAATTGAGATCATCGCTGAACAAAATTCAAAAACAGAATACAACAAATAAGAGAATCCAATAACATTACATCAAATAAGTATATTAAATTATATGATTGATGTTAGCAGGTACCTGAAATCCATGCAAATAAAGTACAAATTTACCTTTCAAATCAGATGCAATCCACCGTTGAACTTCTGTAAATGTGTATCAATTTGCTCCCGCAATATATATACATATATATTTGTATATAATATACACACACAGCGATCTTCTTCTTCTTCTCTCTCGCTAGGGTTAAGAAGAAAAAAAAACTACAAAAAAAATGGATTTTGTAAAAGTTTAAAGGAACAGAAGATGCTAATATAATGGGGCGAAATTCGAATTTGGACATTTTTGAGGCGCCTTAGAGAGAAATATTTAAATGTAACTTCGGACTTCGTGGGAAGCATTACGGGTCGATTTGGATTAAATTGTATTAGATTTGAATCAAAATCAAATCAATTTAATTAATTTTTAAAAAATATAAATTAAATCAAATTCAAAAAATTAATTTTATTATTATTTATGTGCTCCAACTTAAGCACGGATAAAATTAAAATATAATATATAAATGTGTTTTTAAATTTGGTTTTAATTTTAATTTTCTATGTGCATAAACAGAGATTTAAATTTAAATAAAATTGGATGAATAGACACATATATCTTACATGACATCTTACATAACTATTTGGTGTCTTACGTATTTATATCACATAGAACATGTGTGTCTACTTATTTAATTTATGCAAGTTTAAATAATAAAGTGTATGGATATCGATTGAAATCAAATCTAATATTAAGTAAAAAGACACATGTGTTTGTGTTTTATATCGTGACTTTATACATAAAGAATGTGAATTGTTGAGTTGACATTATGTAAAATGCATGTATTATTGTTTAATTTATCTAGATTTAAGTGTTTATTTATTCATTTTTAAAATAGGATATATTTTCGCTGTCGCAATTTATGTGACACATTTTATTTTTTGAAAGTCAAAAACAATTTAAGCTTGATCAGGAATTTGTGCATGAAATCTTTGATTTTCTAAAATGAAATTTATATATTTGTAAGCTATATAAAAAATACTATAAATTAAAATGATTGATAATCCAAAATATTAAAAAGATATATGAAAAATTTATGATCAAGATAGATTTGTTTATCTTAAAATTTAAAACGTGTAACATAAATTGAGACAAAAAGGGGTATGTTATTTCAACCATGAAGCAGGGCGGAGCCACCTTGGTACAAGGGTGTTCATCCGAACCTCCTTCGACGGAAAATTATACTATTTATATATGCTTAAAATAATATTTTAGGTATATATAATAGATACCGAACCCCTTTCATTTATTTTATATGCCTATTTTATAAATTTTAAATCCCTTAATAAAAAATTTAGCTCCACTGCTATCACGAAGTATTAATTAATAAAAAAGATAGGAAGATGGTAGAAATGAGAAGCTTTTGTCAATACCATTTCTTGGAATTAACATCATACCTTTTCTTGTTTGTTCTTTTTTTTTTTTTTGGCACTTCCAACTTAATTATAAAAAGGGAAACAAACTGAATTTTGGCATTAAGAAAACTCAAAGTTTTTTTTTTCTAAAAGAAATATAGATTTAATGAGAAAACAAATTACAACAAGTTTAGTAATTGTTATTTTCTTTGTACCAACAGTTTTTGCAAGGAATATTTTGTTGCAAATATTGAGTGAAAATGAAGATGGAATTTGTAAATCTATGGTGGAAACTCAAGGCTATGGTTGTGAAGAACATAAAGTATGTTCAATACCATACGATTCATACAAAAGGGTTGTTTGATACGAGGGACACGTGATAATAATCTCGCGATAAAATATAAGATCATTTCATCCTATATATCTGATTAATGTTATTTGCTAATCTCAAAATTATTTATCACATCATACGTATTATAATAACGAAATAAATTATTCCATCATATTGATCGAATAATTTTATCCTATCTCATTTACGTACCAAACCATAAAAACATAAATTATACATAAATAACAACATCTATCACTATTTATTTTTTTTTGATAAAATATCATAAAAGACTATTAGCTATGCATAATTTAACAATAGATTAGTGATAGAAATTCATAGATCATTGCATATATAGTTTTTAGTGGTGATTTTATATATATATATATATATATATATATATATATTAGTAATT